CCATCTCTAGACACACATTAGGCAAGAAGTTAAGAGAGATTCAAGCCTAACATTAAATCAGATAAAGATGAATACAAATGTTGTATGCAGCTCTCAAACAATTCAATGGCATTTAAATAAGAAAGGGTTTAAAAACGTGAAGCAGCTGCAGAGGTCTCGTCTTCTTCCTCACCATAAAATCGCCTGTATACAATTTGCTTCTGATTATCAAACTTGGGATATGGATAAATGGAAGAAAGTGTTATTTGCAGATGAGAAAAAATTCAATCTTGATGGCCCAGACAGTTTTCAGCATTACTGGCATGCAAAAGACGTCCCAAAAGAAATTTTTTCAATAGTGAAGGTGGATCAATTATGGTCAGGGGTTCATTTTCGTACAATGGAACTCTTGTGTTGCAAGAGGTAAAAGGTCATCAAACAGCTACTAACATTGACATGTTAAGAAAGGCATCGCTAATTACTGAAGGCCCTTGTCTATATGGAGAAAACTGGATTTTCCAGCACGACAATGCTGCAATCCACAATGCTCAAAGGCCGGATAATTTTTTTTTTTATAGAAAACAACATTCAGCTTTTGAGCCATCTACCGTGCCCTTCAGATGTAAACCCAATCAAGAATGTTTGGGGATGAATAGCAAAGGATGTTTATAAATATAGATCGCAATTTGAAACTGTGGATGCTCTTCGTGCTGTAGTTTATGCATCCTGGGCGAACATCCCAAGCACCCTCATGCAGAAGTTAATGAGTATGCCAAAGCAAATTTTCAAAGTAATTCACAAAAAATGTAGGATATACTGAATATTAAATTGTTGTTGTGACTTATTTGTTCTGTATTTTCTATTTTTATTTACATGGTCTTTATGACCAACCAAAAAAATACTTTTTTAATGTTTATGTAAATTAATCAATTAAAAGCTTACAATTTTCACTTGTTTGTTGAAAAACTATGTTCTCTAATTAAATGTAAATGTTTCGCAAATATGTTTCGATTAAAGTAACAGTATTTTATATTTTCTTAACCCTTTTCTATCTGGTCTTAAGATTTTGACCAGGAGTGTATATAAAATAATGACAAAGGTATTCTTTGTATATTTTTTTATGTTCTTTATTTAGTTGACAAGGGAGCAGAATAAAGTTTGGGGGCGGAAATCAGAAAATAAGACAAAGTGGAAAAGACTTCTCAGCTCTACACTCTCCCCACCTTATTGTTGGCATCATCTAACCGGAGTGAGTGATAGACCCATGTGAGGAAAAAAGAATGAGGAAGAGGCAATAAAAATCTTTACCACATGCTATGACCAAAGGATTGGTGATTTTCACACTGAGGTCATTAATGTCCACTGGATTTTAAATTTAACCTAGTTCAAAAAACACTGTTTAGTATCAAACACTGGTGAAGGCTGTAGGAGTAACTGAAAATTTTGTGATTGTCAACTAAATAAAGTGCATAAAAATATAGAAAGAATGTCTTTGTCATCACTTTTCATATAATGTAAGGTGCACACATGGATATTTCAACAAGACAATATTTTACATTTTTGTTTTTATATAACTGAGTAATAAAGAGGAACATGCAAAAGAAAGAAGACGTTAGGAATTGTGTAGGTGATGCAGGCCTGTGTGTGAAAAGTTCAGTTACTAAGGGGAAAGATATCTCCATGCATGGGAACAAGGTTCCATGTTGGTTTATTATTTAAACTGTATGCTAAAAAAAAAAAAAAAAAAAATGGAAAGAAGATAGGAAGTGTCTAGTTTTTATAGCTGCTTAACAATACCCTCTAACGGTGTCTTGGTTAAGCCAAGAGAGGGTAACACATAATATATATGTCATGGTAAATTTGTTGATTCAGCAAGACCTTGCTAGAAAATCAACAGCAATGGCAAAGCTGAGAGAACACTTTATGTGAAGCCCAATGGATAATAAAAAAAAAAAAAAATCTGATTTTAATAACTTCTATTAGTGGGCTTGAAAAAAGTTTTTATGAATAGAAAAAAAAAATTCTATTTTTTTCTTTTTCAGAATAAAATGCGCACATTCTTGGGATGAATTTCATTTTGATCACCATCAGACAATGGTTTTGTATGTAGATCTGTGCTATAAACTGAATAATAATAAAACAATGAAATATTTTTTTTTGTCTCTTTCTTCCAAGATCTGTGTATTGTAAAACAAGGGAAGTAATTTCTCTTTTTAATGATTTTTTTTTTTTTTCCATTTGTTGATTAAAAGGTATCAGTTTTCTCATTCCCAAACCTTTTTTTATATCATATACTTATTTGATATAAATAAAAATTCACCTAATCCTACTTAATGAGTTTGTGTTGCCTGTAATTGTTTTCAACAGCAAAACCAATGGAATGTTAAGTGATTGGTGTCAACCAGGCAGGAGATTAAGAGCTGATTGATTATTTTTTTTTTTTTCAAAGTTGCATCAAACTATTGATCAAGATTCATGAAATTGAAAACATGTTCATTTTTTGTCCTTTTTTTTTATGTTCACCAATGCAAGTATTTTAAGGGAAAATTCCACAAGAGTGAATCAGAATTTGAAAATTGACATAATCAATAAATTTGTTGATCCAACAAGACCTTGAGATCACATGTTGGAAAATCAATGACATAAGCCCAGTGGATACTTTATTTGAAACCTGAAGGTTAACAGACAGAAGAACAAAATATAAGCATTTTAAACATAGTACAGCAATGATAAACATGTTTATTTTTTTTGTAATCAGATTTTGTTGGTTTCAATCCAAATGGGAATGACTGCAAAATATCTTCCCTTCCTGCAATTTATAGGCAGAAGCATGCAAATGCATACTGGGATTTTTTCCTATCCAATAAAATTGACCAGTTCTTGGTTTCATTTGAGACCGTCCTGGTCTGTCTTGTCTTGAAGTCAGAACACTACATTCACATGTCTGAACTTGCTCTTTTGTGTTCAACCCCAATTCTTAGTTTGTAAACTTCTTGTCATATTACTGTTGTTTTGCCTTGCATATATCGTTTGCTTGCTTTATATTATCTTTTTTGCCCTCCCCCTCCTCTTTTTTTGTTATTGCAAACTTTGTCAATTTTTTGTTGGGCAGTTCTGCCATTAATTTATCTTACATTTAACCATAGCTACTCACTACAGATTTTAATTATTGAACTTTAGATATTCTTAGTTGTTCACTAGTGCAAGTAAAATTGAAATTTGGCTTAGTCATCCCAGATAATTTTGTACATGTCACACTATTGGCCGATAGAGGAGACATGACCAATGAGAGCATGCTGTTCAGTATCCTGAGTGTTGATTGGCTTAGTGACCACGGTTCCCAGCATCCTTAGCTTTTGTCATCCCATGCTGTTCAGTTATTTCAAGCCTGATGATGTTGCTCAAATGCTCTGCACTTTCTAAGCCTTCTGACAGTGAATCCAAGTGCCAGAGGAAGATGCTTACTATAGTGGAGGTGAAACTCCTTGATATGCTGAAGGAAGGAAGCTATGCAGCTGTTGGCCGCCATTACGGCATCAATGAATCCAGCATTCGTTATATCAAGAAGGACATAAAGAATATAAGGTTGATGCCAACAGTGACTTTTAACAAGACAGCAAAAAGGTTGGTAACTTCATGCAATAAGGCCATAGTAAGGATGGAATCTGCTTTAGGTCTTTGGATAAGTGACTGCAGGAAGAGAATATTTCCTTGGATACAAACACAATTGATAAGAAGGCCAGGCAGCTGTATGTCAAGTGACAACAACCCAGGAACATCAACATCATCCCTTACCAAACCAACCAAATTTACTGAATGTTAAAGAATGAGGAGAAAAAAAAGCACTATTAAGGAGTGAGAACAATAAAAGAACAGGAATTAAGAAGACAGAAGATAACAATTGACATTGCATTTAAATTTTGAAGATCAGTTAACTGGGAGCCAGAAGAGAGTTCCAATATCTGGATAGCCAAATGTTTGTTTACAACTGATTCTAATGATACAGATTGGCCATAGAGTGGTATGCACTACTGAATCAGTTAAAAATACATGATGGCTTTCATGTAGCAGCATACTTTGAAATGAGCAATATAAAAATATGAAAGCAAATGGTATATAAAAAAAAAAAAAAAAAAAGTTATTTCACGTCAGACTGATTTGATTACTGTAAAGTTGGAGGAGTGTCTGAGTAATTTGATGAATGAAATGAAAAATAAAAACAAAATTGGTTGTAAGAAATTTTTATTCAACTTTTATGTAATAACATTTGAGGAAGCAGGCAAAATCTTCAGTGAAAGCCAACAATGTCATTACATAAGATATTATTCATATTTTTGATCATTTACTCCAAGAAAAAAAAAAATTTTCTTTTTTTTTTTTTTTTTTTTTTTGTTTGCTTCTATTTGGACCCAAAAATATGAATTTCAATAAAAAAAAAAAAAAAACTTTAGTAAATGAACAGATTTACAAACAAAGATACTGATGTATTTTTTATTTTGAAAATTGAAACATTTTTGATGAAGAGGAAAAAAAAATGGGAAGGAAGAAGTTCCTTAGAATTTAAACAGCTTTCAAATTCTTGCAGAATTCAAAGGGTTTATTGATTGTGGAAAAATTTACCCAGCAATTCTCAGGCAAAACAGTGATGACAAATTTTATAAATTCTTGACTTTCACAATATTTAAAAAAAATAAAATAAAATAAAATAAAAAAAATTATATATTCAAACTTTTAGCATAAAAAATGCATACTCCTAAACACTTTATACTATATTTTTAAGATTTTAGGTTATGACATTTGCTCTGCTTCCAAAATATATTTTTTTTAATTGTTCACATTTGTGTCTTAAACAATATCTTTAAGATTCACTGATTTCAATTAAATAATGATAGCTTATTGTTTTCATAAACAATAAAAGTCGCCTTCTATTTATCTAAATAATCTTCTTTCCTCATCCTGTTTAGCAAAATTCTCAAAGAAAAGAGAAACTCCCTGAAACTATTCTGTCCCTGGTTACTAAACTAAATAGAGGAGGAGAAAATGGAAAAGAAGAGGAAAGTGGGAGGAGGAGAAGGAAGAAAGGGGAAAAGGAGGAGATACTTTAAGTAATAGTGACATATGAAATTAGAAATTATCAAAAACAATTTTTTTTTTTTTTTAGGGTGTTTGAATCACTTGTCTAAGTATTCATTCTCAGCCACAGAAATGTATTGACCGAAACCTCTTGCATAAAGAGCAAATCAATGTCTACAGGGTACATGAAAATGATTTCAAATTGAGTCCTTTTAGCATACATCTCCCTCTCTGATTCCTTGTAAAGAAATACAGACAAATCATTTAAATATAGACATTATATATAAAAGTAATGTTTTGTTCAAGGCATTTGGTCCAAATGTATGACCCCATTAAAATTACATTATCCAGGAAAAAAATGGATAATGTAAAATAAATTTAACATGTAACTAAGGTTAAACTTTTATCCTCCCCCCCTTCCTTAAAATTAATGTGACTATTTTAACAAAATTCCTTAAAATTAATGTGACTATTTTAACAAAATTCCTTAAATGAATATTTCAGTTTTGTTTTTGTCACTGCACTCTGTAAATATGAGGGTCAGATGAAAAGTTCATAGACAGACCAAGATATTAATGTAAGTAGACACAAGTTAGTAGACTAAAAGATATGCAAGTGTATCAGAATACAATGTCTGAACACGTTCATGTCTTTTAGTCAATCAGCTGGTGTGTCTACTTACATTGATATATTCTAACCTATGAAGACACCATTTCCACTATGTTATAAGCATTTCTGATAGGTCTATGTGAGTTATTTCTACCACAACCTGTAGCTGTATATGCTGATATATGGTATAGATAACATGTAAATATTTGTTCTGATAAAAAAAAAAAAAAAATTTTTTTTTCTTTGTGTGTGGAGGGGGGGTTCAGCAAATATAAAATCATCACCATTCATTTCTACCAAGAATTTATTGATAAGCATGAATGAAAATAAAGAAGGCAGTAGCTGGAGGTGGGGGGCTCGTTCATCTAACGTGATAGATTTCAAGGACAATGCAATCTTAGTAGAACTACCGATAAGATCTGAACATCAAAGAGCCCGTAGAGTTTTCTTTACAATATCAAAATATTTGCAAAACTGGATGGAGACTTTAGTGTAAAAGAAGAGAGAGGAAAGAAAGAAGGAAGGTAACATCAATTTTCTGAGCCCAATGCCTTTGATAATGGGAATTTCTCAACAAGTGAATACCAAAAAAAAAAAAATACAATGGTGTTTTTCAAAGGAATAAGAGAGATTTGTTTTCAGAGGGGGGGGCTTTTTTCTTAAAAAAAAAAAAAGACAAGGTGGAGCAATAGACAAATTAATCATGATGATACTGACCAACATTTTTTTTTTCTTCTTTGTTAAATAAATACCTATACCTCCCAAAAGATTAGATGATGTTGAAGGGAGGTAAAGAAGATTCTTGCTCTAAATATTTAAAAAAATTGTTTTTTGTTTTTTTTTTTTTATGATTTTGAAGAAAAAGAAAAATAACTGCATGGTTTTCCTCTTTCGTCAATGAAGAAAAAAAAAAAAAAAAAACGATGAAAGGAAAATTTCAATTTTTACAATTCTTCATGGACTAAGTGTAGGTGTTGACCATAGTCTGTGGCCTGGCTACCAACAAATGTGTCATAGCTATCCAAGACTTCCTTTTCTGTAAGCAGTTGGTCGTGATCAAGGTCCGCTTCATTAATCAAGTGCTCCGCCTCCTCTTTGGCGTTTTGCATAGTGTTTGGTAGAATCCAAGCTTTCATTTCTTTTGTATCCAGCAATCCATTCTTGTCAACATCATAGTCTTTGAATTTGGCTTCCTCGGCCAATCTTTCAGTTTTATCATCTTCTGAAAAAGGAAATTAAATTAATATTAATAATAATAATAATAACAACAACAATAATAATTGGGCTGTTGCTTTGGATATCGCAAAGGCATTTGACAGGGTTTGGCATACCGGTCTTCACAAGTTGAAAGGTTCTGGTATTTCTGGATGAATTTTTGAACCGATTCAGTCTTCCTTATTGAATCACAAAATGAAAGTTATCCTAAACTGCCACTCTTTTAGATCTTTTAGCATTAATGCAGGCATTCCCCAGGACTGTCCTTGGACCTGTGTTTCTCTTAATTTTCATCAATGACCTTCCTAGTGTCATCAGTTCTTAACTCTGTATCTAGGCTGATGACAACTATTTACTCCTGCCTTAATAGTTCAATAAAGTCAAACTGGCAACTGATCTAAAAAAAAAAAAGACCTGCACTCTGTTGTTAACTGGGGCAAGGAATGGATTGTTAATATTAAAGCCTCCAAAACAAAACTGCTCTCTAGTAATACCCTGAAGGATCCCTTTCCACCTTCTATCAGCATGGCTGATGCTAACCTTCAGGAAAGTGCCTCATCATGCTTTCTTGGGCTAATGTTTTCCACTGATATAATGTTGAAAGATTACATCAAATCAATTACCAGATCTGCTGCTAGGAAAGTTGGTACACTATGTCATATTAGGTAATTTTCCCCCCTCATATTTATCTTATTTGTAAGTTTTCCATTCGTTCAGGCTTTGAATATGGCTGCTATATATGGTCTAGTATTCCTGCTATACATTTAGAGATCCTTGATAAAATCCAAAGAAGAATTTGCAATGTCATTGGCCCTGACCTGGCATCTCTGCTTCAGTCACTTTCCCACTGCCATAACATAGCTTCACTGTGCCTTTTCTATAAATGCTTTTATGTTAATTGTTCTGATGAATTTTCCTCTGTGGTACCTAGACTCTATGAATTTAAGCAGATTACTAAATTGGTGGCAAGGTCTCATCATTTTACAGTTGAAATGGCCAGAGATGTAACCATAAGTTCTTTGCTAACAGTTTCTTCTATTGCACTCCTTGCTTGTCATGTTTCATCTTCAAAAATTTAAATGTAATGTCAATCATTATCTTCCGTCTTCTTAATCCCTGTTCTTTTATTGTCCTCGCTCCTTAATAATATTTTTCTTTTTCTGATATTCTTTCACGTTCAGTAACTCCTTCTCCTGCATCTTAGTGAGTTTATTGCCTTGCTTAGGGTGAATTGGTTAAAAAAAATTATAAAATAATGTTTAAGTTGAAGTTCAATATCAGAGGTTTATTTTTTGTTAAATTATAAATGCCAAATCTAGCACTGAACTTTTTAAACCTTTTCATAAAAAGGTCTAAATACTACACAGTGAATTTTTTTTTTTTTTTTTAGAATTTAACATTTATTCAAGTTTATATTGACTAAAAATAAGAATTTATATAGTTCACCTTGTTTTGAAACAGAATATACTCAGTGTTTCGAGCAAACATGTTTACACAAAAATGCAACAAGCTTGCATTTGCAGAAAAAATATGCCCACAAAATTATAAACAAACACACATTCCTGCAGCTGGTATCAATATTTCTGTTGCAAAGTAAAACAGAATTGGACAGCAGTGAAAATGTGTAAGCGTTCTGAAAGCAAAGGAAATGTTTGTCACAGATTACTTCCACAATGCAGAGAACGAATCACTAAGTTCAGACTCGAATATCGGGGACAGAAAGAAAAGCCGAAAACTCAATTCGCAGGTACAGTCTTACAAATCCCAATGCACGTAACTAATCAGAAAAATAACTCACTCATCGACGAACGCAGTAGCCAAACTACATCAATCCACCCCTCAATTCGAGAACAACTGCATTTTTTTTCATTTGTCGACAACTGGGAGAGGATGCCAAATATTTTGCATATCAAAATACTTTTATAGGGACTCCTGCAACAGACTTGTTTTTTAATCTAAATATTCCGTCTTCAGCATGTCATGCGAAATACGTGTCCTTTTTTTTTTTTTTTTGGTAAGTAATTTACTTTTCCATCGTAGGATACACGCAACACGCTGTCGCTTGGTTTGACGAGGTAAGTCACCATTTTCTTTGCTATAAGATAACAACCTTTTTGAGGAAGAATAAGATGGTTCTGTAGATGATATCAAAGATAATGAAAATTTCTATGCTGACAACATAGATGGAACTGTCATAATGTCTACCTTTGACACAGAGAGCAATAACACTTATCTAAATGTTCAGGTGCTTATCACTTTCAGGAAAGAAAATGGCTTTATTTGAACAACTAAGATATTTAATAAATGCCATCTGCAAAACAATCACTCAATAATAAAGATTACAAAAGATTAAACTTTCTACTCATGTTGTAAATGTGGAGTTGAACAATATGCAGATATAAGCATTTTATTTTTTTTTTCAAAACTCTTTAATATTACTATAGATTACTTTGGATCTTAAAACAAAAAAAAAACAAAAAATTATTAAATTTTCTAAAAGTTAATAGGGAGTCCAGTTTTATATAAATTCATTGTCATTGTAAATTGACCCCACTACAGAAGCGAAAACAAAATATGCTTATACATAAAAATATGTAAAATATTTTTTTTTGCAGGGGGAAGGATATTTTTGATATTCATAATCTGGTTTGCTTAATCAATAGTAATAAGAGTAAAAAAAAAAATTCCAGATTATGAGTTTCATAAATTTATTTACTTTTTTTTTCTTCTTCACATTTTAAGAAGTCATGTGGTAAAAGCATATTTTGTTTTGGCTTCTGTAGAATAGGAGGTCAAAAAATACAAATTAAGGTTTTTCTGGTCTTGTTAACGACTCATGGTATTTACACCAAATGGATTTTACTAATGCTAGCCTGGTAATGGTTTGAAACAGGCCAGTTATATAGTAAATAGAATCAGGCACTTCGAGGCGGTGTAATGGTTAGCAAGCTTGTCTCGCTAGAGCAATTATGACTGAACAGAGAATTTGATTCTCACTGGGTGCCCCATACTTTTGGCCATGTGCCATATCTAAGCTACCCTTGGAAAATCACTATATAGTAAATGGAATCTAAAAAATGTTTCTGATTTTAATGGAAAGATGTGAATGAACAGATGAACAAGTAATGTATGGAAGATTGTTTTTGTCACAGACTCATCACTTATTTTTTTTTTATGAAAATTTATTCAAATTATTTTCTATTATTTGAATTTCGATACTATACTTCAATCTTTATTTCAAGACTGAGAAGAATAAGATAATTAAATGGTGAAAATTAATGTTAATGTGTCTTTAATTGGCATAAATACAGTCTAACAAAATGAATGTGATTTACAAAGCAATTCAAAGAAAATGCCAGTCCAAAGAATTGCATGTATTGAGTTGTAATGGATTCCTCTACCCTTGATTGGCGGGTGATCCATTATTCTGACTTGGAAGGGATTCCTCTACCCTTGATCGGCAGGGCGATCCATTACTCTGACTTGGAAGGGATTCCTCTACCCTTGATCGGCAGGGCGATCCATTACTCTGACTTGGAAGGGATTCCTCTACCCTTGATCAGCAGGGCGATCCATTACTCTGACTTGGAAGGGATTCCTCTACCCTTGATCGGCAGGGTGATCCATTACTCAAACTTGGAAGGGATCACACTATACTTGCATGAATTCCATTATTCTGACCTGGTAAGGGGCCCTCTATCTTTGGCTGGCAGGAATCCCATTATTGTTATAAGATCTTTTAAAAAGTAAAATAAAAAAAAAAAAAAATTTTTCACACATGAATAAGTAATAATAATCAATTTCTCATCATTTAATTGTAATTGGAAAGTAAATTCTTAAAGTCAAATTTTTTGTGCCTAAATAAATACCAGAATCTGATAGGGCAACAAGTCATGTTTGCACGACTGGTTGCCAGAACAAAATGTTTTTGAAAACCCAATGTGATTACTAAAATTGGAATTTCAGAACTTGTGATTTCTTGGCCTACCCCCACTTCATAAACATAACTTCACTACGTCTTTTTTGTAATTTCACGGTAATGCTTATGATGAATTTTATATTATGGTATTTAGATTTTATGAATTTAAGTGCAGTACTAGATTAGTAGTTAGGTCTCATCATTTTACAGTTGAAATGGTTAGATGCAAGCATAATGTCTATGCTGTTTCTTATCTTGCACTCTTTTGGCTTTCCAGTCAACTTTGATTTCTGTTCTTTTATTGTTCTCTCTCCTTATAAGTGTTTTTTTTTTTTGTCATGCTCTGTAACCCCTTGCATCTTAGTGGCTTTATTGCCTTAATGGGAGTGAAGTGATTAAAAAAAAAAATAATGTGAAAAAGCTTGTCTCACTTGGTCTACTAATGACAAGAGTGTCAAATCAACACAGAGTAGTGCAGTGTTTTTGTTTGTTTTTTTTTTAAGTGCAACTCATTTTGTTAGGTCAGTGTAGTAAAACTGAAAAAAAAAAATTCAAATATCTTACGTCCACTTGATTCTGTTCTGTATTCACTCAAGTCAATCTTGCCATCTTTGTTTTTGTCATGGTCTTTCAGGGCATGCTTAATCTCTAGTTCATGCATGTATTCATAATCATGCGGATGAACAAAAGCTGGGAATTCTTGAATAGTCAAAGCGCCGTCTTTATCCAGATCAGCCACATTAAATTTTTCTTTGTCCTCATCAATCATCTAAAAAAAAAATAACATGAAACATTAAACTCTGTTTGTGTAGGTAAGTGAATGATAAAATGGAAAAGAAATACTTATATTACATTTTTCATCCTTCAAACAGATTTCAAAATGTTTTTATTGATGGAAAAGTTAAAAAGAGTAATTCATCAAAGTGAAAAGGTATAGAAAGTGTACTAATTTCTGAGTTTTTCATGGTAGATTTATGTCCAGATCAGCTTTCTTAACAAAATTACTGCTATCACAATATAGGATATGTAAAAACAACAGTGATAGGAAGCTAAAAGAGGTCAGCAATTTGTATATCTAGGCACATTAGCAGTAGGGTAATGGCACACTCCTACCCATAAATAGTAATAGAAAAGATCTGGGGAAGAACAATGTCTAACTAATTTGGAGGTCTTTTACCAATATATATCAGGGCATGCTTAATCTTGAGTTCATGCATGTATTCATAAAGATATGGAGAAGAACAATGTCTAACAAAGGATTTTTATCGGTTGATTGAGCATAAGAAGTTTAGCTAAGGACAGGAAAATAATTTTATTTTTTATTCATTGTCATATATTGTGCCATTCTGCTACTAATTTGGCGGTCTCTTACCTATATATATATATATACATACATATATATACTTACTCTCTCAATTGCTTTCATTTCTTCTGCACTTCTCTTCTTCATTTCATCAAAGTCTTTTGTCGTATAGGAATAAACCTTCTTCAAATACTCATCCCATGTAATCTTTCCATTTTCATCCGCATCTGCAGATTTAAACTCATCCTTGGCTTCCTCATTATCCAGGGACCTGAATAAATAAATTTTACACACACATATATGAAGAAAAATATATGGAAAAACAAACAAAAATCCTAGTATGCAATGATGCTGTTTTAATGTTAATATAATGTCAACGTCGGATCTATATCCATATATTTGCTTACACACACACACACACACACACACACACACACACACACACACACACACATATATAAATGCATGTTTCATTAAATAATAGAGACATGTTTTGTCTATTTATTTTAAGTAAGTTCCTTTCATATTGTCTGATAAGCTTAATCACATTATCGTTGAAAGACGAAAGGAAAACACCATATTGATACATGTTTAAATCCAATCTTCTAAGCTTTCGGCTTACATAAGCCATTATCAAAGACGACACAGACGAAACTACAATAATAGTCAAAACTTGTCTATATTATTTTATGAAACATGCATTAATGAAAAATTGCTGCGAAATAAACACACACACACATATATATATATATATATATATATATATATATATATGTGAAAAGTGTATATAAATATAAATAAATATAAGTATGTATAATTATTTATATATTATATCTGCGGTACTTATTAGAAAGCGCTCAATATCAGAGATAGAGCTAACATATTTGGTTGGATAGATGTGAGTTTGTGACCCTGGGTTTCACGCTTTAGACAAACAGTTGGTCTGACGATCGCTAAAGCGTGAAACCCAGGGTCACAAACTCACATCTATCCAACCAAATATATATATAAATATATATATATATATATTAGGTAGCATGTCATTGTTGAGGCATGTGTTATTTTTCTATTTAATAATCTTTCTTTCAGTTTTTTTCTTGCTTTCTTGGAAGTTTCTGTATATTTGGGTCTAAGTTGTTGAAAAAAAGACCTCAGTCCTTTCAGTTGTCGGCAACCATGTTTTGGTTTGAAGTAGGTTGCTTTTTATTTTTTATAGATAATATTTTTAGGTATTCAGGCAGTATTGTTGGATTAATTTCATTTGGAGGGGGTTGGTATTTATTATTTGGAGGATTAATTATTAAATATGTTTAAGATATTTCTACCAGTATTAAATCCTATTTTATTTATGTTGGGTTTTTGGTTTTTAATTGTGATGGCTTCAAGAATTTGCAATTGTTTTTGTAGAAAATTTTGGTATTGTTGATGAGGATTTTTCTTATTTCAGAGTATTTGAATCTGTTATTAGTGGTACAGTGTTGTTGTAAGGTGATTTTATGGCACTGGTGTTATTAAGATGGTATGTAAGATGACGTGAGGGAGTTGTGGTTGTATGTCTGATGTATGTGCTAGGGTTATGTGAGAAATACTCTTGAAACAGGCATGTAAACCTTTACACTACATTGGTTTTGCTGAGGAATGATTTAGGGTGAGGGGGAGTAGTATTATTTCAGACAGGTTTGAAGTTTTAAATTATTAAACAGAAAAGTTCTGTAGTCTTTAATAACACATGCCTGAATAATATATATATATATATATAAATCTTTATTACTTTAAATATTATTTTTAGTGGATACCCATATTTGAGTAGATGCTTCATTTATTTAAACAGTATTTTGTCTACCTGTCTGAATACTAAATAATAAAGAAAATGTGTTCTTCAACAGGATTTGAACCTGCACCTCTTTTGCAGGAGGAACCACCATCTGATCTGGAATGCTTTTTACAGCTCGGCTACAAAGAGCTTCACAATCAACCAAAGTTCTATTTTTGCCTTTAACACACATCCATGCTTTCAGATTTTTCACAAAACGCATATGCTCAGTTTTGTACTCAAAATGTAAACAAAGCAATTTCTAAATAATTATGGAAATTTTTTTTTTTTTTTTAATCTAACATATTTTTATTACTTTAAATGTTACTTTTAGTAGATACCTATAATTGAGTAGACACTTTATTTATTTTAAACAGTATTTCATCTACCAGTCTTCGTACTTGAGAAAACTTCAGATAATGTGCTTTTCAGCAGGATTCAAACGTGCGTTCACTTTTGCAGGAGGAACCAACATTTGACCTGGGGTGCTTTGGCCGCTTTTTAATCCAACATTTTTATTGCTTCAAACATTATTTTTAGACGATACCCATGTTTAAAATAGATTCCCCATGTTTTTCAAATAGTGTGTATTAGGTCTACCAGGGTCTGTGCACTCAAGAAAACAGAACATTGATTTCAGAGAAACACTTTGCCCTGGCTGTTGATTTCAGCTTAGGAAAACCTTCACTCAGTGACGACGTCATCACTGTAAAGAATCCAATCTACACCATTGCGTTAGATGGATGTTGACCCCTTACAAGAAACTTCAGCCATCCTTTAACATGTGCATTTTTAATTCTGTTGGGTGTCTAGTCACTCTCCTCACCAGAAAAACCTGGTGAAGAAAACTGGTTTAGTTGCTGATGATTTGACCATGTGGTGGGCAGTGTTGGGTTTTATGCTACCATTCATAGAGCAACTTGACATAAGATAAAAGAACATCTGCCTGAGATAACAGATCATACAGTGCATAAAATAAAAGATCTTCCTGCAGAGATATATATTTTGAGAATGGGGAAAAAGAAAAATCTGTGTTTAAAAGAACACACGTACATACAACAAAGTAGAAAGAATTGACATGTTTCATGCTTTAAGACTTCATTAAACTAAATTTGTTATGTTTAAAGTCCTAAAGGACAAAATGTATCACACAAAAACTTTTTTCCACTTTGTTATATATATTCCCCCCAATATTGTTCTTGATACATAAAAATGCATATATCATAATATACATTACTATAAACATTATTTTTAGTGGGTACACATATTTGAGCTGCTATCCCTAATTTTTTTTTTTTTTCTTAAACAGTGAAATTAATAACAATTGGCCTAAATTGATAAGTCCTATTGAAAAAATATTGGACCTCTGACAGGAATCAAATCTGTATCCCCTTTTCCATCATAGCTGAAATGTGCCTTTACCAATTTAGCCATGGAGACTGTGTTGATAAATTTGGCTACAGAAAGAGTCTCTGATGGAAAAGGGGATACAGGTTTGATTCCTGTCAGGGGCACAATCTTTTTTTAATAGGACTTTTCAGTCTAGGCTGGTTGTTATTAATTTTGCTGTTTAAGTAAAAAAAAAAAAAAAAAAAAAAAATTCCTCAGAATTGATGGTGTGGCTATAGTGTTACCTGTCAGTCCCATTTTATTTATTTATTCCCATAACTTGTTTTATTGTATCAATTTATACATTAATGCAAAGTTTGTATTAAAAGAAAAACGGATTTAAAACAAAACAGGTAAAATATCAAATGTTGCTCACTTATAAGAATTGAAAACCCAGGACTGTAGTTCAGGGAGGCATAGTTTACCATCCTTATCCAAATCCATCTTGGGAATGAGTTTAGCCAAGCGTGCTTTAGATTCTTCAGGTTCCAGTTCATCAAACTCCTCTTCAGTTCTTTTTGAACCTGAAAAAACAGATAAGTCATTATTGGCAATTTTTAACCTATGTACTAACAAAAAAAAAAAAAACATGTATCAAAAGATAGTTTTTCTGTTGACACTGGTATTACATCCCTTTCATCTCCTTCAGCAATGTTTATTTACAAGATTATTAAAAAATGGGTACCAAGTACAATACAAAATTTATTATTTATTTTATAAAAATTTATTATTTGCTATTTTATAAAAAGTATGAAAAATCTTTTTAAAAAAATTACAAAATTATAAAAATGTAGGAATTGACTAAATTGCAATATCTATTATTTACCATTTTATAAATAAATATGAAAAAAAATATCCTATTATATTTGTACTTGTTCTTCCTTTCATTCTTCAGCATGACTTACTTCCTGTCAATATCTCAAATAATGGACTATTCCATGTTTTGATCACGTGAAAAGAGGGTAAAAGAAACTACTTGGTTTCAACAAGAAAATGAAAGAAGGGAACGTAGAGGTGGAGAGAAAATCAGATTAAGCTGATAAGAACAGATACTACACTTTGATCTCAGCCCAAATCCAAAAAATAATGGAGATCATGTTAAAAGCACCATTTTACAGACACAGTATCGAACAGTGGGGAACCAAGCAAGGTAATTGTCAAAAATCCAATTATGATAAATAAAACAATATCAGTTGAATTATTTTTAAATGATTATTAAGAGAAATGTATATAAAATTGGGGATTAGGTTAGAAATAAAGAGATAAGGTAAGATATAAGTGTTTAACATCTAATATTTCATAGGTAATGGACTATTCTATCTTGATCGTGTGGAAAGAGAAGACATTACTTGATTTCACTGAAAAAGAAAGGGAAAAAGAAAAAATGAAAAAAAAGAAAATGAAAAAATGAAAGGTGAAAAAAAAGAAAGGCAAAAGAAAATGGAAAAAAATGAAAAAAAAGAAAGGTAAAAGAAAATGGAAAAAAAAGAAAGGTAAAAGAAAATGAAAAAAAAGAAAGGAAAAAAATGAAAATGACAAAAAAAATGAAAATGAAAAAAAAAGAAAGGAAAAAATGAAAATGAAAAAAAAAGAAAGGAAAAAAATGAAAAAAAAAGAAAGGAAAAAAATGAAAAAAAAAGAAAGGAAAAAAATGAAAATGACAAAAAAAAAAAGAAAGGAAGAAAAAGAATGGGAGAAAAAGAAAGGACCAACAATAACAAAATTAATGGCTTATTTTGAAATATCTATATACCAACCAGGAATGTTTTAATCAAATATTTTCTGTTCCAGCATACCTCTTATAAATTTTTAAATTGGGTGGAGACACACCACCCCTGGGAATTCTCCTTTTACAATCTAAACAGCTGGGTAAAACGAAACCAATTTGGTTATTCATCACCACCCACCCCAATGTTTACACACCCCTCCCCATTCCCTTTATATTAAATACAATAATGACTAACTGTATCTGTCTGCTAGAACAGCTAACGAATCCTTGTTGCAAGTGCCCACTTAGACACATTTGTGTTTGTTCAACAACCACAGAGCCCACCTGTGTTTTATACTATAAACATACAATGTGACCCTCACCAAAGCACGAGAATGCAAACCCTGTTTCCAGTATTATATTTAGACATTTTATTCAGGGCTTTGCCTGCTCACCTGATTTTGTAGGTAGGTGATACTTGGGACAACTTCTGTCAATTTCTTAGATCAGCTCCTCACACACCTACTCATCCCAATGTGTGGCTGGCAATATGAACAGGTCAGACCAGAAATTACTTCCTCAATCCCAAGCATGACTTAATATAAATCAACACCTGGATAAGTGCTATTCCTGCTCTTGTTGCCACTTTATCTCCAAAAAGTTCCCATCTACTCCATTACTCAAAAGGTTCCCCTATAGTCAAAGTGGATGCTGCTGAGAAAATTTCAAACAACCTGTAGTGATTCTGTGCATTAAGACAATACATTAATACAAATCTCTCTCTCTAGAGATAGATAGAGATATATAGAGATATATAGAGATAGAGATATATATATATAGAGATATATAGAGAGAGATAGATATATATATATATATATATATATAGAGATAGATAGATAGATAGGGAGAGAGCTATATTTATTCATTTTTATCTCCCACCACAGAACAATATTTTCCAATATCATTATCTAAGACAATAAATTTTTGCTTTTTGTGATTAAAAGTGGGGAGGGGAATGAATAAATATAACCACAGTACCTTTCTTGCTGCCTTTAATCATAAAACAAGAAAGATTATACATGATTACAAAAGGATTTTATTGAAAATAAATAAATACAAAATGTTTCCATTATTTAATCAAACATGTTTAAATGAAATAAACATGAATCAATTATATAAATAATTCTATGTTTAATGCAAAGAAAGAAATGGTTTAAGGTTTATATGTATGACAAAACATCTTTCTTGTGAACTCGTTTAAGACAACATCTTTCTGCTCCAACAGTTGGCAGTCAGAGAAAGATGGTTTTGGCATAAAAAAACAATGTCTACCTTTTCTGGTGCATTATGGGAATTCTAATTCCTTTCCTTTACTATAACCTAATAAAGCAGGGGACACAACTCCTGCTTGTTATTTATGCGTCATTACAAACCCATTCACATCTTCCTCTTCTAGGTGGATGTCCATGGCAAAGTTGCAGTATTGAGACACTGAGTGATCTGCAGTTACAGTTTCTGGGAGAGAGCACATCATTTGGCGCGATCAACAGTTTGAACAAAGCCAGTACACTCAAACCCTCAGTTGCAATGACTTGTTACTTTGTGCTAGTATAACTATTGATGAACAATTCCGTCTACCCAATTTCACTCACAAGGCTTGGGTTAAAACATTTTTCAAAAGTGCCGCACACTGGGATAACCTCCCCCAGCTGATAAAAAACAAGAAATTACATTCTTGGCAAATCAATCATGGTCAGGTTCAAACCTGAGTCTCATGGTTGGAAAGCAAATGTTCTAACTACTCAGCTATGTGCCCCACGGCAATTGACAAACAAATGGGACAGAAAGAAGGAATATTGTTTGTGCGCAGAGATTGCATGAGAGAGTAGTTTTATTTTTTTTTATTACACACCACGTGACCACGCATATCTCCACCAATTTTATGCTGACCTTGTGCAAAACTGCTGTATATTTCTGGTATTATATATAACTGAAGGAAGGTAAAATTTACTTAAAGTTTGCATTGTGAATTTTAACCACTTAGAAAGGTTATTTGCTGTTGTAGTCGGTCTAACTTGCAGAGAAAAACAAATGTTATAGCCTGGACATTGAGAAAGACCTTAGGTTCTTTGACCTTCTGTCCAATGATCCAATAATTAAGATTATTTAATAGTGTTAATATTAATGCAATATCAGATTCATCTCTTACAATATTGTAAAAAAAACCAGCTGTGCTATTGTTTATAAAAGACAAAATAAACAGCTGGTGTCAGTCAGACGAGAATTAAAAGGCCACATCTGGCAAGATGGATGCATTTTATTCATAAAGCCTCATGGGAAACTGACAACCATAATGTTATAACTCGTAAAAAATTAAATAACCAATTGTTGATATAAAATCATCCATATGTTACAAGAATTTCTCTGTACACAAGGATTTGTTTGAGGATGAAATTTGGTAGAGGGTAGGTGTAACAAAAAATAAGAACAATACAGTTATTAATTTAAACAATTATTTATTAATTTATTCAGAAAGGCTTCATGATTATGTCAGACAAGTCAAGGTATATTATAAACATTCTGTGTGCTGAAAAAGAAAGACAAATGGCCTGGTAAATAACGAACTTTTTCATGTTCCTCAGACAAGGAAAATATAAGAAAAGCTTTTCTATCTTCTTCCAACGGCTAAACGAAGCATGAAGAAATAGGAAGGTTTAATTAAAAACAAACAAAAGTGCACTAATCTGCGACATAATATCATTGCACCAAAGAGAGAGGGTTGTGCAAGTGAATGATGGACAATTTCCTTAAAAATGAAGAGGATTGGTTGATTTTGTTTAGTGGTATATCAACCTCTATGGGTTATTTAATGCCAAAATCTAAATATATTTTAAATATAATTGTATGCTTTCGACTACAGATAAAATGTACTGTTCATCATTTTGCTATAAAATATATTGTTGGTAATTGTATAAAATTGTATTACTGGTCATTTTGCTATAAATAGGTATTAGTGATCACTTTACAAAATAAAAATGTATTGCTGGTAATTTTACTATAAAAATGAATTTTTATGTTTACATTGTGTTTTGTTTTTGTTTGGGATTTCACTGTTTGTCCATAGCTGGGACCCTAACAGGTGACAGACTGTTTCGCTGTATCACAGCTCATCAGTGTGGCTAGACATGTGATTACTTCAAGCCAGGATTGAAACCTGACCAATTTGACATCAGTCAGAGACTCCCACCCCTAGGCCATCAGTGCATGCTAGGAACAAAGGGAATTTTTAACACATTGTATACAGGATATATGCATTACCGGCTACCAGAAGGCTCAAATTATACCAAAGAACTTGGCATTAAACAGCAGTAGCAGCCAACAAATTTGCCTTTCTTCCCAATATATATATATATATATATATATACACACACACACACACACTAATGTTTACCCAATACAAAGTCCAATAGGACACTCAAAGTACAGGGTTACTGTGTGGAGTTGTACTGAATAAAATTTCAGATTTCAGGCAATGTCAGAAGGAACCAATCAAAAAAATCAGGGAGGAGTATGAACCAGACAATAAGCAAACCTATCTACTCCTATTGGGGTAGAAGGGAAAAAAAAATAATTAGTGAAAATCAATTCAGTGTTCGGGTGGAGTCATTAGAACCAGAGAGATGAAGATAGAGCATTAATAATAATACACTATTACAACTTCATTCAGTAACCCTCTACCTTAATTGACTCTTGAGCCTTGTAATGGGTGAACAATAGTATGAAAAAAAAAATGATTGGAGTTTTAATTATTCCGAT